TACTTTTATTTTGGAAAATTAAACAAAAAAGTTAGGGCTCAAAATTCATATTCTACGCAGAGGAAGTCGCGGGCAACAGCTAGTCAAAAATAAATGTTACGGAATGAAAAGTAAACTTATTGTAGTTACCAAGTTTTAAAATGTGGATCACAATAATTTAACTAGTTATATTATTGAAGGGCCCAATTAAGTACTGTCATTTTAGGGCCCGACAGAATGACCGTCCGGCTCTGTGCTGGCTTACTACCAAACCAAACAAGAGATGGATTAACACCAGCCAAAGAATGATTCTTATCTCGGTGTAATGTGTGTTTGACCATGTTTGTAGTTACAATTAGTATTGGACACGTACAGGAGGTACTAAGTACAGAGTAATTGACATAAAGTGATTGGGCTCCGTGGAGCGAAGGTTAAATCAGTTTAAATAACGCCATCATAATATTCTCCCGTAAAAACTGTATATGGGATGCGTTTTTTTTCCACTTAGCTGCGATTAGAACCAAAACATCGGATGTTTATTAGGAATTATTTAACAAAATTGACAAATATTTTTGTTTCATTCTCAGAAATAGATATCTTTGTAATTCAAATCATATGATTAAAGTATTGAATAAAGAAAACTACGTCACTGTTATCAAGCTGTCTGACAAAAATAATGTCGTTTGTTCGTACCTAATAATAACATTGTAGGTAAGTTACCGAGACAAAAAAAAATTCCTTTGCACGAAATAGATCTCTGTCTTTTGGGATGTTAAAAAACGACACCAAGGACATCAGAGTGCACCAAAAGTAGTTTTGTAAATCCGGGTGCAACAGTTACGAAACATATTTTAAAATGATATATTATAGGTACACTGACATTGACCTTAATGCAGATTCAAAGCACAGCCAACTAAAATAACCCTTCCGCTGATATTTCAGAGACGGAAGATATTAGTGTTATGGGTATTGTGAGAGCTCGGTGTACGCGCTGAAGCGTCGCTGGTGTTCTCCATTCGGGTCGATCTCCTCAAGCGGAGTAGAGCGCGGTGCCTCGGTATCCGCGCCCTCATGACCCAAATTTTCGCAATGACGTCACCGAACACCGACCACTATTTGGGTCATGACATGCGCCAGCACCACCGACCCACTCTGCACTCAGATAATGCACCAGATAAGATACCAACAATCAAAGATATAATTTTAGGTCACGTTACCTTCTTCGGAATGACATTCATAATATCAGTATGACTTATGTTCAGTCTAATAAACATAATTGATTCAAACGAACGGATTGACGTCGACGTTGAGGCCTTGTGCCGAGTTGCTACGTTCAGAATGAACGTAATAAATAAGAAAAGTTCAATTAAAATTTATGCAAATTGAAAATGGAGACGAGTTAAAAATTGTCTTCGTTTAATCCTTTGTATTTAAATTTATAATAACAGATTAAACATCGCTGAATTTCTGCTTCGTGTTTTCGGTTTTGGTGACAAAGACCTAGTAGAAATTGTTTCTGTAAGATTCCTTGAATAGTACGCGGTTTCAATGTAGGGACTTATGACCACTAAAATGTCAGTAAATACCTTTGACGGAGTTTTATTGTCGTTACTATAATAGCAATATGGGAAGAGACCACACACATCGAGTTTATACCTACCTATTATATGAGCTTTTATCGAGACGTTATTTCGACGAAAGTGCTAGTAAAAGCAAGGCAAGCACTTAAAATGCAAAGATTTTACTGTAATAGAAATAGTTATAGCTCACCTATTTGTAGAAAAATAATAAAAATATACATCCGTATTATTCTTATTTTACGCTACAATTTTACAGTCTCTCCAGCCACTATAACAACGAAATATGAAGGAGAGTTGCGTAAAGTTAGAAGATCTCATTTATTCGTATTATCTGAGCTACGCACACAAAGAAATTTGTTGTTTTGGGCTGTATGCTCCGAATAGTAGGCTAAAAGTGTAGTGTAAACATTCGCAACAAGAGATACAGATTTATGGCATTATAGATTAATGGGTCTATATGGAATTACGAGCGCTGAGGAACTCGGCGTCTAAATAGCAACCGCACGAGGCATTTCGTCATAACCAACAGTGTTAGAAAGACAAGAGGCTATTTTTTGTATAAATATTTTCATTTCTAAGTAAGCTTTGTAGTAGGCCTGTTATATTCAATAACTAAATTTAAAAACACCAAAAACAAACAAATTATTACAATTATAAAAGTAAATTATCTTCTTGAATGTTATGTCCAAATGTTTGTTTTAATTTCATCCAGATATTTTACATGTAAATTGAAGTAGGTATATAATAATATATTATTAATTAGTGTAAAATAATGTCAGTTATACTAACTTTTGAAATTCAGAAATATTTGTTAAAGTTAATTAAAATTGTTGAATTTACAAATCATTTACGTCAAAGTCTACAAATAGAAGGGAAAAACATGTACCCAATTTACCTATTATATAAGTTTTTTACTGTTTATATATTCGCACTAAATAGACTATAAAATCATCATCTATTTCAGAAATAGCTGTTGAATCGTATATGTGGGCAAACCCCAAGCGGAAACTAGAAAATATTTTTATAAAAATGAATACAATACATATTGTACTAGTAGGTAGAGGTACAAAGTTCGTTATAATTATGTACCTAAATAATTGACGTCAAAGCTCATTAATTGTTCTATTATCAATAAGGAAGGATTTATGGTAAAATAAATATAAATACCTAAAATAATTACTAAGTGTCCAGGAATAATCTAAACACACACTACCACATTAAGTACCTATTCCAACTTATTCCATAGTAACTCAACTCGGTTCCTTTAACGACAGTTGTATTTTTAATATGAATAGGTACTACGTACAAATATTCAAGGTAAATACTATGGAATATGCGCTAAGTATTTCCCTTATAATTAAAATTACCCATTGAAACATGCTTTACATATTTATTTGATAAGGTTGCCAGTAATTAATTACGGGATAAAATCACATTCACAGATGATCATCAACAGCCTTTATAAGTGCTCACTGCTGACCAAAAGCCTCTTCTTCCAAGGATAAGGTTTGAGCATTAATCGCCACACTTGCTCAATACAGGTTGGCGATTTCATACTCATAATTTGAAATAAGAAATCCAGGTTTACTTAAAATCTGTTACAACTAGGAGTTGTAAGAATTTTTTATCAGTTTCAATTAATTGTAACATTTAACTTTACACGCCGAAAACAGTAGGCGATGTATGTGGGACTATTTTTTATAATGATTACTACCTGTAATTACCATATTTCGTGCAAATCAACATTCTTATTCTTATTTTATTCTCACGATGTTTAATTTCATCGTCACTTACAGATGAAATTAGTCTGTATCTATACATGGATTTCATTGGGACACAATCGTCGTAAAACTAGGTATTTGTGCAACCATGGTGTGTTGAGAGACAGGTTTCTCCAAATCCCATATGAGAGTTGATAATTAGTCATCAGCTTGGTGGCACCACCTCGTTATTCCTTCTAATTTTACCTGTTATTTTGACGTCATAGGTACCTCTTTAGGTGAAAGTGCATTTCATTTATACAACTGTAAACATTCTGTAAACTGTATTTGTCGGTTGTCGTACGACCATGGTGTCCTTATAAAATATTACTTTAAAACTCTGCGCATAAATGCTAAAAACACATGAAGGTGAAATGATATGTAGAAGGATTCAAGATGACATTCTTATTTTAATAACTTTGGAGATAATATAAAAGTGAAGGTTTATGCTTGTACCTACTGATATTGATTTTATGTACTTCTGAGATCAAAATAAGAAATATATTCTTTGGGAGTCTTATTTCATTTATTCGTAAACAATGTACATACATGGTGTTGAGTGTGGGACTAAAAAGCATTATTCAAATCAAAGGACTCAATTCTGCTATTTCAGTGTAAAAAGAAACCAATATGAAATGAAGGTGGTTGTAACAATATCTAATTTTAGCGCAGATTGATTCCCACCACACGCTCGCTTTTATACAGCATTCGGGTTTATTGTATAACGCTATTAATAAATTGTAGATAACCCGACAACCCGATAGCTATAATGGCCAAATATATCTGCGAACAAACAGAGAAAGTCCAAATTGTGAACCGATGTTATACATCCATTTAAACATTTATATATAGAACTCCGTTAAACTACTCTTATCTCCATTTAAATTAAAGTACAAGGTCATATCTGACGTCATAGTTTTAATATATAAATAAAATAATTAACAATATCTATGTATTTACGAAGCGCTGCAATCAAAAACATTGGTATACGGTTTTAATAGCATATACTGTATATAAAAATAAGAGTATTAAACCTATTACTCCAATACTTTATTGCCTGGCTAAGCATTAATGATATAATTTTGTACTAAACATTATTTTTATATATTTCGATAGTTCCAGAGTATTCTAAGTACAAAACTATGTTGTGCTGGTATTATCAGAAAATATTTTTATTTAGATAGTCATGTCGTGATTAACTCTTATTCCAGTGAGACTGGATTTTTCTGATACAAGTTTTCTCTTCGTATTTATTGGACCAGACAAAAATATTAGAGGAATTTGAAATTTTCAATAATCTAAACTGAAAGACATTTTATTGAAACATTGGTAGATGCGAATTAACACTTTAATAGGACAATTCACTGTCAAGTTATTTAAATGGCTAGGCTGCAACCATTAGATTAGTTTTTTCAAACGTTTTCAGTCGCTTGTTTCACTCTTGGTAGGTACGTGGAACAAACATTGTTACAGAAGCTCGCCAACTTGTCTTGTTAACACTGTTTTTATTTGCGTCACATATTTTTAATAATGCAGCTCATTATATCTTGCTTTTTTTTTTCATTGACGACTGTACCTATTGACGCAAAACTTTAAATTCTTAGAGTAGAGTTAAACTACTGAGGCATTTCTGAAGAATACTTTTTGTTTCATTTTTACTAATTGTGCTGTTTTTTTCTAGGGCTCAAGTCCGGAGTGCTGTGCTGATAATGCAGGACTGGACTCTGCTAACAATGCTGGGACACCAGCGCCACCTCCGGGCCCTCGGTACAAGCTGGCTTCCGAGGGATCCCTCAGGGTATGCTGCTTCCAGCACACCAGAACCGTAGTGGACAAGATACTAGCAGCCAAATTCCTAAGGCGATGGGAAACACACGTGCTCTGCCTAGAGGAACAACATATTATTTCTAAAACGGTAAGTCTAAGTTTTCTGTTTACAAATCTGTACACTTGCGCACTTGGGACTAGGGAAACGAAATCCAAATGATCGTTACGTAACGACCACGTCATTCTGATGTCAAACATTGTCCCTGAAATAATATGTGTATATTTTGTTCAGTGTACATTTTCATATTTATTATAATCAATTTTTATCAGAAGTTCGGGCTGTCATTTTTCATTTATTTTATTCAAAAGTGGCAGCATCACAAGTGTTGGCCCACCACTTGTTTATTACTTGGACTTTAAATACAGCCAAGTGGACTGTCTGACCACAATAAGCCTGTGATATCGCAGCGAGGTTTAATGACCAAAGTGTGGCTCAAATATTTACCTAATTGAGTACAATTTTTATGAGCGTGTCGTTCGACCATTACATCTAATTGCTTTGACGTAAGATACTACTAATATTTGTGCTATAAATGAATTTTGTGACTTTTCTAGGTACAGTAGGCAGTCGTAACTTTATCATGCATAGTTTATAACAATCGAATATCGTGTTTAAATAGCTTGTAATCTTCTTCGCATCTGTATAAACATAAAATATACGTCAACGATTACTCATCCGATGTATTTATGCGTAATAATTAAGAAATTTTAATCGTTACATTTGTGTACTGTTTGCATGTGACATCAGGACATGATAATATTATAGCGTAGTATTATATTTTCATGTTTATTCACTGAAACGGAAAAACATTTAGAAGTAATTTCTACTCAAGTTTTATTTCAATAGACTTTCTTCTTCCGTGTTCTAAATTCAATTGGAGTCCGGATAGGATACGACCAAAAAGTGCAACTTTATATACTGGAGCATTCGAGCTAATACTCAGACTTTTAACAACAACCTACGACCATCTTTAGGTAGGTATTTATTATACCAACAAAGTAGTAGAGTTAATTCCAAAATATTTGCATAGTAAACACTTTAAAAATGTGCGTATCATGTTTTAGATTATCCTCAATAGTTCCAGAAACAAGTCAAAACATCTTATGAACTAATATTATTCACTGTATATATGGAAAAACAAAAAACAATGTTTTTGTAGTACTGTATCAAGAATATTCTAATCTCCAACAAACATTTTTATCCTTCACGGAAATTTCACACTACGAAAACTGAAAGAAAATTGATTATTTTCCTACGTACGAATACCTATTTTCTGTAATTTAAAAACGATGCGTAAAATAAATTTACGATACGAGAATTTATGTGATTTGGGCTTTTTAGTTTTAGAAATCTACAGATTGGTACAGTACATAGCATGGAAAACTAATATGAAAACAAAAAACATATTATGTATAATATAATGTTATTTAAAACCCAGACAGAATAAGGAAATCTCTGCTAATTAAGGAATTCGTTATCCCAATTAATATGTCTCATATTTTAATAATTAGTATTTATTATATTAATATATAGGTACGAAAAAACCAATGTAGCTGGAAATCACAATAAACAAATACACATATCGGAATTGGTTGAACAGCACAAAGCAATGAGAGGAATAAACAAAAAAATCGTGTGACTTTAAAATTCGATATCTAATGTATGGCAAGTGTCTAGGAGTCCTACACTTGTCATGATAAGGATAACAAGTCCGTAGGTACACCGGATAATCCGACGTATAAATACTACACAAATAAAAATACGTTTTCTTTGAAACACGAACACTTGTTTTGCTGATATTTCAGTGATAAGAATTCTTCAATCAACATACGAGTAACTGATTAGTCATTTCATTTCTAATGACGTCGATGTTAGTAATTATCATTGAAACTACGAATAGTGATTGACAATAATTAAAATAAACCACTTTGTAGTACGTTACGAATGCTATTTCTTTGAACATTACATAAACTAGATAATTAATCATTTTCGTTAATGGCGTCTGAAATAAACACCCACACCTTTCTTTATCATTGTTTGATAACCATCAGTGTTATCAGCTAGCTATCGAACATCAGGACTCATCCACTTAAGCCTACAACTAAAATAACACATATTTGCACTAAGTATAGGTACATGGCATAAGTGTTCATTGTTCTCTATAATAACGTCGGTCGGTACACAGCTATATGTTGCCTCGTCTGATAACATTGTTTGCAATCAATATTAGAGTGCTATTTACAAATACGCTCCGCAAAGTAAACATTTCAACCAGAATCTTAAACAACAACATTTTGATGAGGCTTCAAACTGGATCACTAAAACCGTCACTGTTTTGTTTTCTTTTGCTTTTATTGAACCAGTCAGTCATGGAGAAAGGAAATCAATAGTTACATTGCTCCGAAACACATTAAGACACGGATGCGATAATATTTCCGTGCTCTACTGTAGTTTAAATAACCCAAACATAGTTGCGATCATTAATAAAAATAATCACTATTATGACGTTTCGTGTTTAAATTAGATTGCAGCTTCGGCCCGAACCCTTCAACGAGGTCAATCGTAGATAAGAGAGCGTTCGTGCGTCACAACTTTTATATTAAACGTCCGGCTACCGATATGTTCGATAGTTCACAGCATTATGTAATGCACAGCGATGCATATAACTGCCGCTCCAGGCATCACATGCGCCTCTCAAATATCTTGATACAATATCAGGGAATGAAACTTGCTTGAGAGAAAGAAAACATAAATGTTTACATTTACCTACATAAACGGCTTTAGGCGTTGAAAACAGTTCTCTCTTGACGTCATACGTACGCAGAACACATTTGCATTTGGTATCCAAATTCAATGTTAATCTTTAGCCTTTTGGGTATTCAGGAGTGGCTATCTGCTCCATAAATGTAGCAGTCCAGACGTGTGAGCAGATCTGCAGTATACCAGCTGTCTGCTTCAAGCGTTCAGTTTGCTATTGCTAATGTGTGTATTTAAATAGTCTTTAATCTTGTACTATATACAGTTTTATGTATGAAGGTTGAAAAGAATCATAGTAGCAGTAATTTAGAACACATTTTTATACTTCAATGTTATAAAAGTTTGGCCTGAAACGCGTAGGTACAGGAAGTAATATAAATCAATGAAAAACAAGTGAAAGTTATCTACATTGTTATCAACGTTCATATTAATATCAATATTTTATTCCTTATTTGTGTGTTAAGAGGTCGTGTCATGTAACACATATGCATTAAACTTCCGTGCCCTGTTGATGCGCCGGCGCATCTGTATCGTTGAGGTTACAAGCGTGTCTTTGATGTTACCGTACAAGAAAAATCACTTTGTCAAATGATTAATGACTACCACTTTTCCTACTCCGGTGACATTCGAGGACATTCATGTTTTGGGAACACCTAGTATTTTTATCTTGACTTGATATAATTTAGTTATCAGAAAATAAATAATATTCATTTAAAAGGCCGTAATGAGGAATGATTTAAAAAAATCTAGTTTATCTACCTACATAATAAAAAAACTTTTTCAATCGCATTTGCGATTACCTATCATCGTTTATTATAGAAAAAAGTGTGTCTTCCAGCAAGAATATAGATATCTGCATTCCCCATTTGTCTGCAGTGATGGCGGAGTTGTCAGACTCGTGAGTTCCACGCTAATGTCAGGGGTCGGTCGCATAGACTAAACATTTTGCTACCAACGTCAGTCTGCTATTACAAAACCCTATTCCATTAAGGAAATTGATTGTCAATAATTACATTTTACTTCATAAAGTGTATTAAGAAATTATGTTGACGCTCGACGTTTCAATAAGAACTTCGCAATAGATTCGATAAAGTCGTTCGAGAAACAATAGGCAATAACAGTTTTGTGACGTACGCTGTTAAATCTAAACTAAGCACGCTTCGTCCTTCCAATACACAGTTTAATTACACTGCACAATCGATTTTAAACTCTATTCGTACAGGTAACCTCACTAAAATCCCTTAACACTCGTTAAAGGCTACTACGTTCTATAAACTACAATGTATTAAAAACGCATTTGGTTTTCCTTCGTTCTATTTCTATGAAGCAATACTTAAATAGTTTTTAAAAATAGAAGGTTTATCATTAGTGAAAATAGACGATCCCGATTACAATAATACTAGTGGTTACACGGGCGTCATTTTAAGTTAAATGCGTAAATAATGTTTTACCACAGAATAAATAGTTTTACCTCACATTGTAATTGATAACGTAAGTAAAATATGGGTAACGTAGTTACTGGTTCTTTAACAATGTGAAGTCAGAATGGGGCGTTGGCAACTGGTATTGAATAAATGGAAATCCCATTATGTGAAAAATGGATTTATAAAATAATTGTAAAACGACGCAGGAGTACGTGTGCAACCGTCCGTATACATTCGGACGCTGCTGGGTGCTTGGTGGAATGTACGAGTAATTAGACTGCAGTCTCTCGTGGCCATAGTCTCGTAGTCCCGAAGCGAAAGCTATCACGTGACCACATCTTATTATCACTTGTACAAAGCACAGAAAAACGTGGCAACAGTTTGCTCACGTCATAAGTTATCAGAATTATTTGTATATCAGACCTCAAAGAAACTGAACGCTTGCCGGTTATCATTTGTTTAACAAATATGTATTAAGTTTACATGTCATAACACTAGAAGTCTGCGTAAAGGTTTTTCCAGATGTATCTTATTTTTATAAAAATACTAGCTTCTGCCCGCGACTTCGTACGCGCAATCCCGATATTTCCCTTGATTTTCGATAAAAAATAAAAAAAAAAGAATTGGGTAAAAAGTATCCTATGTCCGTCTCCTGGTTCTAAGCTACCTTCCCACCAATTTTCATCCAAATCGATTCAGTCGTTCTTGAGTTATAAATAGTGTAACTAACACGACTTTCTTTTATATATATAGATATAGCTTCTGCCCGCGACTTCGTACGCGCAATCCCATTCCCCCCCCCCCCCGTTCCCGTTCGTGATTTTCGGTAAAAGTAAAAAAAAATAGATAAAAAGTATCCTATGTCCGTCTCCTGGTTCTAAGCTACCACCCCGCCAATTTTCATCC